ACCACCTTAAAAAATCATCATCGACAATCACCACCACCTTAAAAAATCTTCATCATCGACAATCACCACCACCATAAAAAATCTTCATCATCGACAATCACCACCACCATCAACAATCATCATATGACAGTGGTGATAGAGTGTTTATTTACAAGCATATGACTAGTGTTCCAAGTTATCATCACTTGTTCCATGGTTGTTTGTTCTTCTTCATCCATCCATCCATCCATCCATCCATTGCAAAACACACACATTCAACAAATCCCATTGCAAAACACATTCAACAATCACAAATTGAATGAACCATCTCCATTCAGCAAAAATCACAATCATTCAAAACACATTGAATGATTCTCCATTCAATTTTTCCCATTGAAAACACACACATTGAATGAAAATCTCCATTGATCCATTCCCATTGACAAAAAATCCTCATTGAACAAAACACACACACATTCAGTTTTTTCCATTGAATACCATTCCATATACCATCATCATCCATCTAAGCCATCATCATCAACCACCACCATCTAAATATCATATCAATCCATTTGATTTGTTCCCTTCCACCACCACCACTTTTGTTTTGTTTTATTTTGTTGGTTGATCCCATTTGCCATTCGCCTATTGCCATCATCCAATCCAATCCATACCAATCCATTCCATCCATTCGCCATTCCCATCATCCAATCCCCATACCAATCCAATTGTCCCATCATCCAATCCAATTGTACCATCATCCAATCACTCATCATCCACTCAGCATCTAGCCATGTTATTCTCAATATTCTCAATATTCTCAATATTTTTCCCTACCATCACCATTCATTCCAATCATCCATCCACAAAATTCCCCACATTCATCATCATCAACCACCTCCACCACCACCACCACCATCAACAATCCCATCCCAAAAAACCATATCATTGACATTTTTTTCCATTTAGCAAATACCATTGCGAATGAATATCATTAACAATTTTTCCCCATTCAGCCCAAAAATCACAATCATTGAAAACACACACACATTGAAAAAACTCTCCATTGATTTTCAAAAATCATCATACAATTTTTCCCATTGCAAATCCCATTGCAAATATCATTTTCAAAAATCTCCATTGATTTCAAAAATCTCCATTCATTTTCAAAAATCCCATTGAAAAAACCCATTGATTTTCAAAAATCTCCATAGAAAAATCCCATAGAAAAATACCATAGACAAAAATCCCATAGAAAAATCTCCATTGATTTTCCCATTGCAAATATCATTTTCAAAAATCCCATTGCAAATCCATCACACACTATTTTTCCCATTCACAAACCAAACACCTCAAAAAACAAATTCCAAAAATCAACCAAAAAACCAAACCAACAACTAATTCCATACTCACTTACCTTAAACCAAACCAAAAATTCCATCCAAATACCCTACAACACATTCTAATACTAATTCCAAAAAACGCGGCAGGCTCAGGTTACATAGGCATAGGCAGGCCTCAATTTCTAAATTTTTTTGAAAATTCTCTCACTGACAATCAGTGCCATCTATTGTAACAAACCACAATTGGCTACCCTAACACGTATCCACAATCAACAAACCACAATTGGTTACCACAAATGTCTACCCTAACAAGTGTCTATTGGTTACCCCAATTGTTAACCCAAAACTAACCTAACAAGTGTTTATTACTACCCTAACAAGTGTCCACAAATGTCCCAAAACTAACCTAACAAGTGTCTATTGGTTACCCCAATTGTTAACCCAAAACTAACCTAACCCGTATGAACCAAGAATTGTTCCATTTGACATTCCATTTGTTGACATTCCATTTGTTGACATTCCATTTGTTGACATTCCATTAGTTATCCCATTTGTTGCCATTCCATTTATCTAACCATTGTCACCACAAATGCTACTCTAACAAATGCTACTCCTCTATCAATCATCATCATCATCATACATACAATATATCAATCCACAATCTACCACACTCTACCATCATCCATCCATCCATTACCAATACCTCTTCCACACACACACACACACACACACACACACACACACACACACACACACACAC